TCACTACACCAGGGTACGAACTGCTATCCTAGTTGCAAGGAATTTTGTAATTATTCAAGAAACTTCTTGGATCTTCAGGGAACTTTTTAAAGATTCAGGAAACTTTCTTGAATTTTAGATTTTTTTTAAGTTCACCTAACTTTGTAGAAGCTAACCGAACTTCAGTGAACTTCGTAGAGTTTCATCGAACTACTTCGGTAACTCTTTTTCTACGCACCTGAAAAAGTTATTTGACAGCTGACATTTCATACACCTTGCAGCTCGTAATTGACAGTATGGGCTGAATGAGGCTATTCATGCTGTCGCTAATGTGATCAATAGCGCTTATGCTTTGTTTGACACTAATGTTCCTCTAACTATTTTCACTGGAACACTGTCCTAATTTTGAATGATTCTTTGGTATTATTATTTAATATTTTGTTTTATGCATTAAGACAAACATATGTCAGATAAATCATGAGCTAAATTTAGTGAAATTATTTGAAGTTCTGAGATCTTGGAAAAATTAATAAAACTTCGTAGAAGTGGATACGTCTATTAACGTCTCTTTAAACTGTTCCCCTACAAGAGGAGAATTTAGTTCATTCGAGACGGTTCGTAGAAGTGGCTACTTTATACAAGCTAAGGGATCTCCGTAGGTTTGATGTCAGGAAACCTCTTTATTATTCAGTGACCTTTTTAATAACTTCAGAGCACTTTGATGAAATCTCATGGACTTGAAATAGTTCAGATAATTCCGCACAAATTCAGGAAATTTCTTAGACTTCATAGGAACTTCAGGGAATTTCGTAGAGATAGACGACTTCAGGGATCTTCGTTTCAGTTTAGGGAACTTCATAGCGATTTGTCAGAAATCTTAAAAAGCTCAATGAACTTCCTGAAGATGCATAAGTAACAAGATATTCTTTCAGATATGCCCCCTAGACAGCCAAGAAGTATTAAAATACCAGCATTGGCTGATGTTCTTCTGATCTGAATTAGAGAGTTGCTAAAAACAAGGATGACCTAAGAATGTGCTGAAGTTTTTGAATATCATATTTTTTTCAAATTGATCGATTAACTTTCAACACGGTATTTTCCAAATGTATGGTTTAATATACTCTGGCAATCCGGCGAGCGGATGCGACAAGATTTTGAATCATATTCCGGTGCTGCGCCGATTCTGGTGGCAACATGTTGATTTGATTGGTTGATCTATTGAAGGTTGTAGCGAAGGTTGTACGACTTTCTGGTCAACCGTTTGTTGTAGCGAGATGGTGGCGCTTGGTGGTTGCTTTGTGGAATTGGTCCCGATACTCACTGTTGGTATATAAAGGCAAGGTCGCCCATTATCGAACCGAAGAGGTTATTTCTTCTTAGCGATTAAGATGCCATCGAAACCCACAGAGCAATGGTCCTTGACGTCCATGTATAGTTGACTCAGAAGCCACATAGATCGTACCGTGCCAACCAGAAAACGATTTGAAGGAACGGAACAAAACGTCGGTAGACTTAATAATTGGAATTGTAAATATATCACTGCACTGGTTTACATGCTCATCTGAGTTAAAGAAAAAAATGTTCTGCATAAAATTCTTCCACCCAGTGACTTACCATAACATTGCTGCATTCGTACCATTCCGATATAATCTATTCAAATTACGTAACATCCCTTCTAACAATGCATACCAGTTGTGTTGCCGATGCATGGTTAAATTACGTTGAACATTTGTGAACGTCTTGCAGCGGTCAAATCCCCGTTCTAAACAATACACTTTTTGTAGAATTTGTGTCCATTACATATTTTGACAATAACGTGACAAAAGATGTTAGTCATGCAAGTGCATTTAAGTGTTGAACCGGAAAAAAATAAACAAAGAATATTCTAATTGACCGACAAATGAATGGCTTTGGCTATTAGAGGATTTCAAGAATAAAAGAACTGCAAACATATCAAGATTAACAATTGAAATGGCCTCAACTCCATTTTGTAAACACACCTTGTAAGGTAATTTTCTCGGAAATCGAAACCTACATTCGCAATCCTAAACCACAATCGGGAAGAGGAGAACCCGACCTGTTCATTCTGTTGTTTTGCATTGGCGGACTTTGGTTCGCGAGAAAATGGCCTTACAAGGTTTGTTTACAAAATGGAGTTGAGGTCTTTTCAATTGTTGGTCTTGATATGCTACCTTTCCTCTAAAATAGGAATGGTTTGTGGTAACGCATATGAAATGTCGGTCAAAGCAACCAAGTTTCAACAGCGTATATTCCGTTTACCTACACCTTCCAGAACTTAGAGCTTTGCTGTTCTAGCATTAATCGTAGCACATGAGATGAGGCACATGAGATCAGCGCGAGCCTCGCGCACACCAGGATTTTTGGGTGTCGCATTTGTTTCTCGCTCGTATCTTATTCTCGCGTGTCTCTTTCTCTCTCGTCACATGTTGTTTTCGTTGCGACGGGAGACGGTTTGTTGAGAGTCTCGGCAGCACATTTTTGCACGCACGATGAAAATGTAACTCTGCTACTGAGCTTCCCCTCTCTGATGAACCATTGCATAAGATAACCAAAGTTCTAGCCTGAAGTGATAGTATCACACTTGTTACTACTTTATTTGAAAGCCGCGTTGTAGTACGCTTACGTATAGGCACTGACGTTGGGTGCGATACTGGCGGGTTTTGCCGCAAATCACTCTTATTTTATTTATTTTTACGCAGATAGATTTATTTGGGTTTGCAAGGGAATTATACTATTAAAATATTTCAGAAAGTGCCCAACAGTGCTCCTTCTACTTGCGTGACAAGCTTTCGTTGTTGTTTTCATTGAGGTGTTACTCAGGGAACAATATCAAACACCATTTTTGTACATGGTATTGCAACTAATCTTATATGTGCTTCATTTTGATTTGGGATAAGTGTTTGAACTATGGCTCGGGATTTCCACTGTGGCGTGCATCTATTGTGACATAACCATACGTATTTTTGTGGTGCGACATAGTCGAAGCGTGTGAGCGTAGTTGAAGCATATACCCTATGTAATTTAAAAATTAGCTAGGAAACTAACTTCAAAGTGAAGCATTTTAGTCACTTGAAGGTGTCACCTGGGACGAACTAATATATATTAAATATAGGTCAAAGTCAGAAACAACATGAAACACGTTAAATTTTAGATTACATTCACAAGTGCAGGTACTTAATAAAGCATGGTAGGTAGATTAGAGATTTCAATTATTTATTAAATTAGACTAGAGATATCATAATCATCAAACGAACTTAAATGAGAAAATTTAGACAGCCTAGTAGCATTAAGTGGATTAACAGAAGAGTTAGGATGCGGAGGGTCCGCTTAGGGAGGCAACTAGCCTTTAAAGCAACTGGCAACTAGACTTTTCATGTATTGTCTGTTTATTTTGATTATGGCTTTAAAATATCAATTTGGTATTTATGTGAAAGGATGAATCAGTGGGAGATGGATTTTTGGTTTCTTTACATTTAGCATCACTATGTGTCATTTCCTCAAAACCCCCCAATAACCGGCCTCTTCAATCCCTTCCTTTTCCCATGGCGTTCAAGTGGTCCGCATAGACTATTCAGCCATTACCCTCCTTTATCCTCGGCTTTGGATTGACTTGCGCTCCCATTGCCCCACCAAACGCTGCAAAATGAAAATGAAAATGAAATAAGCCCAGTGCTTTCTTTTTGAAACCTTGTAGTAGTCACACAGTCCTATGAGCGGCGTTTCAATTATTTGCTCAAGTGAAATACCTTGGACTAAATAGTACTTTATAAAAACTTCACTTTTAAAGATCACATTGAGGGTATCCAAGTCACATTTAACAAATATATACAATGTATGTGTCGTTTTATAAACAGGAACTCCAAACTTTGCCTGACTTCTAATATTTGCACACATTTTTAGGCCGGTCATGCTTTACGTTGGGTCAATATGGTTTAGTTGTTGCACTACCAAGAAAAAATCACTTCAAGGGGTTCAGAACAATATACTGAAGATAATTTTGAAGCTGCCTCCCTGGTACAGTAGTACTGTACATATAATTTCAAATACAGCCGTACATAGAATTTCGAATGTTGATACTTTTGAACAAATGTACAACAACATAATTAATAATTTCAATCAAAAACCGTTGCAATCTTTAATTACAACGATCAATTTTCTTTATAATTATATAAGGCATAGTTGATGTTTTCAGTTTTAAGACGATAAAGACGCAGACAATGTAAACACACTTAAATATATATCATAACAAATAAGGTTGGTAAGCTGCAGCACCTAGTCTAATACATGAATGTAATTTGATTTGAATTTAGAACAAATAAAGATTAAAAAAAAACAAATTTCAGCAGCATTGTTCACGTTTTTTATATTAGACTGTTTTGCTTTTATGGGCAGTATAAACGATCGCACAAAAAAAAATCTTGGGAGTTCCTCTAATAATCAACTATGCCGTTGTTTAGTCACCACTGGATTACACAGAATGGAATTACTTAAACTGGAACATCGGATGAATGTGTGAATCATGTAAGTGGAGCATGGAAAGACCATCATTTGAGAAAATATTGCGTCATCCAGTTTGGGTTGTATGTAATTGCAAAAAGCCATGTCCTTCTAGGTCGCTCATGCGAGGTAATTAATTGGTAAAAGCAGCTCCTAAAATATCAGGTAGCAGGTTATTGAGATGTTTCAGATATCCCCACCCCTCCCCTCGCGTAGGCTGTCGGCCATACAATTTTTAGACTTTGTATGGACCATAGCCACTTCCCCATCTAAAGCGTGGTTTATGGTTTATGAATAGCCCCTTTGGGGATTGTAAACATGAATATAGGATATTCCATTTTGGAAAATACCCTAAAGACATTCTGAGGATTCTCCTATTCCATGACTTCTTTCTAGAACTTATGTAACTCCTAATAGTTATGGTTCATGTTTAAAGTAAACAAACGTAATTCTCACTTTGCGTAGATAAGGAACGTTATATATTAAACTGATTAATCTTATAAATAAAACATTGTTCAGTCACACTCACAGTACATCATCACGGACAACATATAACAACCCTCTCGTTCACAAAACCGCAAATTGCAGGTTCTACTTCACGTTTTTTGTACCGTGTAAGCTCATCGATACAGTTTCTAGTCAGCGCGCAAGATCCCTGTTTTCCATCCTTGGTACTGCACGTACTTCCTATGTAAAGCGTCTTATCGACGTAAATCAGCGTTCCTTCTTGAGGTTTGGATATTTCGACGTTTTGTTTGAATACAAACTGTTCTATCCATGGGATCAACGGTGCTACATTGGTCGTAATCAACGGATTATACGACCCGCAATCCGTCCCGTAAGCATTCACCCCAAATATGATCGTTTCGTCACGGCTCAATAGGGGACCACCTTGATCAACTTCGACCAGATTGGGAACCATGCGATAGTCTGTGCCGATGCAACTCATCGCATTCCCTAGTCCTTGCGGAAATTTGGAAGAATATTCTATGTCGTTGGCTATAGCCTGATCATCGCAACGGGACTTCGAAGGAAGGTAGATTTGCAATTTTTGTGGATATGGTGCCTTTGGGGTTCTACAAGAGAATGTCTCCGGTGCTATTTGGTAGCCTCGCAAAGCGCTAGTATACGGAAGACATACGGGAACAATCCATTCCGCTGGCACTATGTACCGATCAAGGCGGATAAGAGCCACATCGTTATAGTAAGATCCTTGCTGGAATCCGGGATGTCTTTCTATTTCTACTATCTTTGCCCATCGATCTATGATGGAAATTCTAGTTGGTGATTCCTCTCGTGAGTTGAAGGTACAGCGTGCCGATGTTATAACTACATTGTAATCTACAAGAGTGCCTCCACATAGAATATCTGTTTTAGAATCCTTCCAGTGCAGGTAAACTCTACTAAAGTACGGATCAACAACTTCTGTTTCGCCTGGCATTTGCATTGGCTCCACGTAGTCTTTATATTTCTGTATGCATTCTAGAATTCACGAGTATTAAATTAGTATCACATTAGCTGTCTACTATTTGTAACTTACCTAATGGATCTAGTGTATCTCTTACAACAGATCTGATCCAATTGAGATGCGGTTCAATTTTTTGATACACTCCGTAGGATCCATGACCACAGAACCTTCCAAATGAAGTAACACCGATTAAAAAATGGGCAATATGCTGATAACTGTACAATGATGTCTGCAGTGGTCCACCCGAGTCACCCTGACAGGTATCGCTATGAGGACTCGTAGCACACAACTGATCAGCGCGGATTCCATCGGGAAGTCCTCGGTCTGCTGGATAAGCCGACGCACATTCGGTTGTATTTACTAAGGTGAGCCGTGCTTTCAATAGATTAGAACTGCTTGGTACACCATATTCTGTGTACCCGAATCCAGCTACCTCGAACCAATCGTATGGATACACTTCTTTGGACCAGATACATGCCGGACATACCCCGGGAGTAATCCTAGATTGATATGATCATTTCAAGGATTTCCGTTCTCACAGCAAAACAATAAACAACATACTCAACTTTTTCCTCTAATTCCACTAGCGCTAGATCATTGTACTGTTGATTTGGTTTACGATCAGGATGCTTAATTACCCGTTTGACTTTGATCTGCTGTCCGTAGTGATCGTCAATAGTCAACTTCAGATGAACATCACCTAATCGAATCACATCCGGAGCGTTTCTAGAAAAAACACAATCCTAGGACGGTTAAACATTTGTTCGATGACAATTTCGCCGTACTCCTACCTACTACCTCTATCCTGAGAGCAATGGGCAGCAGTCAGTACGAAACGTTCCGTTATCAACGATCCACCACACTTCCATTCGATCGTTCCTGTCGGAGTCGTCCAACCAAGTACAGCCATGTGAGGAAACTCGGTTCCATTTACGCTGGTCCCATTGAAGACGGCCATCTGATGTTTGTCTACGTTGCGCCGATGGAAGCGGGAATGGCAGTCTTTAGATAGAGAAAATCGTAAAACATACTAGTTTTTATTTAGAGCTCCAATGGTTCCAGACGATCAACACTCTATCCAAGATCAATTCTTACCGACTATAGAGGAAAATATCCATTATCTCAGTACCATTATCTTAACCATCAATTAGTTAACTTCTGAAACGAATTTCAGAAATATACTATTTTATTAATCGTTATGTGCGTGACCGTATTTAAATAACACGATATAAAAAAGCAGAACAATGCTCATAATTTATCCGCATTATTCTCTGAAGTCGTTTATTTTAAATTTACAATGTATGGTACAATTGTCTTTTATGAATTCAACATATAAAATTACCCTGCCGATAGTTTTCCACGACGATAATTTGTATGGCAGTTTTCTGTTGTTTATAACCATTTGCTGTCCACATTTCATGTAGACTGTTTTTGAGGGGTTTTAGACCAACCTCCCCTTCGTGCAGCATCATTCAAATACCTTTCAAAAATGTGTATGGATCGTGTACATTTGCCAAACTATCAGTTCCGCTTCCCCTCCCCTAAACTGTCTAAGTGGTGGACAGCCCCTAACTGGTTTCGATAAAACCTGTTTACCAACCCTACTATAGTTTGAATAATTGAATTCCTACGACAGGATATTTGAAATTCAGGTTTACTACTCGCAATTTACGTCACAGATCTTCCTCACTCAGCATTCTGATTTTGCAAATTCATGTTTCATGTTATTTTAGCATACCAATTTACTGCCGCTATTCGTATAGCAGTGCCATGTACATAGGAAAACAACAGGACATGGGGCTAAAATTCAAATCTTTCGCATTAATCTTCAAGATGGATGTTAAAGGTATACTTTGGTACAATAAGACCACTGAGAAAGCGCATGGGCTTCGTAGAAAATTAGAGAAGCCTTTCTAAAACGGAACTAGGAAAAAAATGGGTCTTTGATGTACTTCCTATATTCCCAAACCTGTATGGTAGCGTAGGTGTTCCAGTGATAGAAGTGTTACTATAGTTACGCGGAATGGGATTTTTGGTTCAATCAAGATTAAAAATGATCATTTCGTTTAAAAAAAAAGTTCTTGTAGTCCATTGGAGATCATCCATAAACTATGCTATGTTTCCTCAACTGGAATTTTCATTCGAGATTTCGAAGCTTTACAAAATGCATGGGAGAATTTTACCGTAATGCACGGAATACCAGATGAAGATGATTCTGAACCATAGTTCGAGACCATGATAAAATTTACGTGCTATTTTGAGCATGGTATAGGCATTGATAATCAACATTTCATAGTGCCCAGATTTGTGGACTTAATGTCTGGATGTCGATGCTTTATGGAATCTTGATGGCGAACAGCTTTTTTTAGAAGTGTTAATTTTCTATTTACAATATTATTTAAAATTAATTTTATTCGACAATATTTAAGACATTTTATACTCACCTTGTAAATTCCTTCGTTTGTAATAATCACTTGGTATCGTACTGGTAAACACTTCACCCAACTTATTCTTTATTTCTTGAAGTTCATCTTCAATATGTGGCCTTGCTGGAAAGGTACACAATGGGGAACATAATCTACTAATCCATAAAAGCAATTTTGAGCAAACCTACCACTAGTCAAGTGTGGAACTACCGCCAGTATCGATACTACGATGCTAACAGTTAGGAACCACTTTTTATCTTCGGTGTTTTTCAACATCCTTACTGATTCAAAGCTGAGTCTTGAATGTGACTGAAGAACGTGATTAACACCTTCCAAATGTAGAAATTCAAAGGGGCCAAAGATGAGAATAATTTTGTTGGGATTTTCCTTGTGTGAATTTTATTGTCTCCGTTCTGCTGGATCATATGCGTCTGCGCTTAGCAAACAGGTTAGGCAGGATCAGGGGTGCTATAGGTGAATTTTTACTGCAGAGATGTCATCACTAAATTGAATGGGGGAACTTATGTCACGACACTTTCCCCAATAACATTTTCATGACATTTACCATCTCTGGATGAAATTGTTAGAATTGAAACATCGTGTATGATTGGGTATTCAGGGACAGTTGATTGGTTGATGGCATAACTATTGTAAAATAGATTTTTTGTCACATCCACATTTAATTTACGATATTTTATGCATTTCAGAATATTCTGATTGTCGCGGGAGCTGTCAAATGTTGAAATCTAAACCAAAACAAAATGTAATCTCTCTAACGGTGAAGTAATGTAAATTTCGGTGTGCAATTCCTAAGTTTGCAACAAAACAGTAAAATGCCAACCACATTGTTTACTATCCAGTTGCTAAGTTGACTTCTAGGATGTTTGTTGAAATAAAAAACAAATTATTTTAACCTTTGCTAATATAGGCATTTTTGTAAATAGTTAGACGGTGGGGTAAGACGGATAATGCCAATAATTTATAAGAATAAAACTTTAATGTCCGAATTTACATAATGCTATAGATGCCTAGAATATGAGCAGTTCCAGACAAAATAGCGAAGAAAACAATGGATTTGTTAAACGACCTACTCCAATTTATATGACACTTTGCGTAATTGTTTGTTATTGGTAATGATTTACATTTTTGCTAAAATTCGACCATTTCGGGTCTTGAAAAAAATATCAAAATTGCGTCCTATAAATTTTTGATTTAAATTAAAAATTTTAAAAATCGGGCAAGAACATTTTGAGATATTTAGGTTTTTATGATTTTTCAGGAATGTTTATTTGAAATCGCTAAAAATATTTTTTGTAAATTTTTCCGTAGTGTAATAGCATAGAGGTATCTCTAAGACCAGAAGGTCCCGATGAAACGTGCTCACCTTTTTGACTCAGCTCTGGTACTATCTTCGGTCCCAAGCTAATCGATGCACCCCTCGAAACATAGGAAAATCTACGAACCCCTAATTTTATCTGTCAAACTTTCACAGCTAATCAAAACAAACATAGTGTAGTACTAGAATTTCGACTAGAATGGGGTACGTTAATCGATTTGCTTGGGACCAATAAGCTAGTCAAGTAGTGAGCCAATTTAGAATTGTTAGTTTTCACCGGTTGGTAATAGTACGTTCAAACTGTACTAGAACTTGCAGAATACTGATATTATTAGCAAAATGCTGACGATAAAACATTAACAATCCTTAAGGTGTCCTTCTTACCCCGATTTCCCAAACAATTTAGTTTATCATGACTTTTGATTCATCTGTCAAATATGAATCAAAAGTCATGATAAACTTTCGCCTACTATTAACTTAGTGTCCTTTGAAGCATTTGCACAGTTACGTTGTACGACTGGATTTTTATGTTTGGAAAATATAACCATATTTAACTATATGTGGTTCCTCGAATTAAAGTGTTATTTTTAGTAGGATAAGGTGAGGTAATACGCGCTACGGGTTAATATAGCCAACAGCGTTTCGACGTAGACTACGTCTTACGTAAAAAATCTAAAATGGCGATCGTCACGAAAAGCTTAAGTTTTGAACGCCTATAACTTTGTCATTTATGGATGTAATTAAATTCCAATCATTTTCGCATTGGACAACGTAGTGGACCGATCTCCTGAGCAACTAGCAGCAGCAGTATCTCCAATGGTAGGAGTTGGATTATTCTGAATAGGATCGAACAATCGATCCTTCTTAGGACCACCAATTTTTACAAAAAGAGTTAAATTCCTGGGTTAAATCGGTGGTATTCCAACCGTTTCGTGATGAGTGTGTGACTGATAACCACGCTTTGCGTCCATTGCTGCAATGGATACGCTCTGTCCCCCGTTGGCTATACTGCCATACAATGAAACCACTGGAAGCGGCTCCCGTTGTGATGGAGAAAGCTTATTGGATAGCGAAATATAAAGTGTTTATTGTGTTGTACCTTTTGACTATATTTTTAAGATGTTTTGTATAGTGAACAGGAATTCCGGCTCTGTAAAGTTAATTCGATTGAAATTAATAAACAACCATAATCCTAAAATATGTACAGTCTCGAAATAACAGAAGCTTTTCTTCTGGATAAAAACTTATTAGATTTGTTTTGAATAAGCACTGTTGGTCATATTCCCCTTATGCCGCGTATTACCCTATCTTACCCTATTGTTTTGCTAATGAAAAATGTACGTTTTGTCTCTTTATCTAGTTCGTTTATTTGTAAGGCTCAATCGCGTTTGCTTTATGGAGCCGATAATTCGTTGTTCTTTGTTTGTAACAAAATTCACTTAATTCTATGTCTAGTAGGAGTTGGGCCGGATACTCGCGGCTTACTCGAGGTTAGAGGGGTACATTGTCGAAGGATAGGAAAAGGGGAGGAGCTTGGGAGTAGGGTATCGTTGCCTCATCAGAGCGTTGTCGCCAGTGTGAACGGTAGTGTGGTTCTAGATTCGTCTGGAGTTCGACCGGCTATGGTGACCAGTGGGCGACGATGAGGCTCATCGAGACGGGGGACAAGACAAACAAAAACTAATAACGAGATACAAAAGACAAACGAATTAAATTCTTATACTAGACATTTGCAGAA